GGAGTATGAACAGCGACAGCTCTCGTCAGGGTGATGGCCGGCGAGCCCCCCCCCCCCAAACTATACCCTTCTTAGGAAAATGGGGGTGGTTGACTTCGAGGGATCCTCTGACCCCGACATTGTCAATGCATGGCTGTTGAAGCTCACTCGGACTTTGGATGAGCTCTGTATTGATAATGATGAGGATAGGATCGCCATGGCTGTCCACGTGCTCCAGGGAACTGCTAGGGATTGGTGGCATCTCCAGCCGGAGAGTGAAGTGGTACCTCTTGAGATCACCTAGAACCAATTTGTGAAGATGTTCCTCGATGAGTACATCCCCCAAACCGTCCGGGACGATAAGAGGGAGGATTTCTTGAAGTTGGAGTAGCAGTGGGGGCAGAGTGTCACGGAATACACAGAGTTATTCAAGAAGTTGTGCAAGTATGCTGATCCCGTGTACCGGACTGCAGCAGGGATGCGAGATCGTTATGTTCGGGGTTTGAGGGCAGAACTAAGAAAATGTATGGAAGAAGTAGAGAGGGCATCTCAAGCCACTGCATACCGAGCTGCCCTTCGCATTGAGAGGGATGAGAAGATGGTCGAACAGGAGAGGGATGCGAGGCTTGGTACAAAGAAGAGGAAGGAGACAACCAACTCCGGGGCCACGACTTACTCGCCCCAACCTTCCGAGTGGGAACCTGGTTCATCTAGCCAACATTAGTCCTGGATCCAAGAGATCTCCACGAGATATGCACCGACACAACAACTATATCCACTATGCCCGAAATGTTACAAATGTCATCTGGGTTAGTGCAGGCGTCATATGGGTGTCTTTTTTGAGTGCGGTGAACCGGGACATATAAAGTGGAATTGCCCACGACTTGCATACCATGCAAGGGTTATTTCTGAGCCATCGGTTGCTGGGGGTAGGGCATAGACGGGAAGTAGGTTCAGTGGCAGTACTAACCACTTCGACAACAACAACAACAATGGTGGACATTTCAATGGCATCAACACCCACAATGCCAGGCGTGATCAGAGCCAGATGTCCAAAGCTGGTGGACGACCTAGAGTCTTTGCCATGGAAAAGCTTGCCGGTGGTTGTGGAGAAGATGGAAGGGATGAACCAACACATTGAAGTGACTATATTGGTGATTGAAAGACTATAAGATGGAACTGTTCGTTCTTGACTAGTTGAACCGCTTTTTAGTCTAGTATGATCGGTTAGTAGCATTATGATGTCGGTACTAATAACAGTGGATGCTCAAACTTTTATGTTAACATGATTTTAAATTTCGAGGACAAAAATTTCTTAACGGGGAGGGAAATGTCACACCCGGTGCCTAGACTTTTCACAAATTGCCAAATTCACCCTTAATTACTATGTTTAATTAAGCTAATTAATTAATTAAATTCTAACCTAACTGCAGGGGATGATTCCTTCTCCCTCTCGGCCATTCTTCATGTGAATATATATATATGTAAAGACTAAACCTAAGGACTAAAAATGAGGAATGAGAGCCCTAAACTATTAAACACCGAAGCAGCAGCGCCGCCTTGCCTCCCTCTTCCCCCTTGCGCGATCAACCACCACCGCCACCTTCCAGTTGCCATCTCCGACCTCCCCTCCCTCCACCAGTAGCAAGCAAGCTCCCAAACGGTACGGCAGCCGGCAGAGACGCAAGTCGGGAGCCGTCGAACGTGCACCGTTCCTCCGTACGTCGTGTCCTCTATTCGCCCGCGCGGTAGCTCTGATCGTCGTCTCTCGTCCATAGTTTTGGCGGCGGGATTACGGCGAACGACGATTGACGAGGAGGAGTTGACGTCCGGGAAGCCTCGAATCGTGCTTTGGGCTAGTGTTAAGAGGGGAAAGGTGAAGGAAGAAGGAAAACGGTGTATGGACATGTACAAGGCTTATAAGTACGTTTGGGATCATCAGGGCAGGACATAAGATGATAATCGACTTCAAATCAAGGTGCGTGGTTAAAGGGGACTAGAGTAGTTTTCGTTATCAGTCTATGCATTTAAAGTTCATTTATGCATTTCAGTTCTTGTTTTATGTTCAGTCATTCATTACATGCTTTCATGTTAAGTTAATTTGGTTACTTTCAGTCTTTATGTTAAGTATGCATGGTATCATGAAGCATAAGTAAACCATGTTATGAGACAGGTAAATGCCAGTTTAATTCTAAACTACTCAAGTGCAATTTAAGAACCTTATATCTTCCCATTGTGTGGGAGATTACCTTAAGTAAACTCAGAATTCTCAAGCTAAGTAAGCAAGTATAAGATTAAGTATGACTCTCCATCGTTGGAGAGGTTAAGCAAGCATGTATAAGATATCAAGTTAATAAGTAAGAATAAGAACCCTCTCTTAACTAGTCGCACACGGTCACCTTACTCCTTGTAGATGAGGAGCACCTTATAGATGAGGGGTCATGATATGTATGTCACGATCGGTGTCGAACACGATCACCACTACTCCCTGTAGATGGGGAGGTATGTTATGTTACTCCTTGTAGATGAGGAGGTTATGTTCATGATACGTTGGTGCCGGACGGATGTGCTAGTTAAGTAGAGGGTGGGATTCCATTTAGAGTTCAGAAAGTAGAAAATATTATACGCAAGAATATGTTAACAATAATACACTTCTACTAATGTACCCAATAACGTACCATAAGCATTACATCTGCATGGTTTTGTATTTAAGTATGATAACGAAATTAGGATTAAGACAGACCCCATCGCCCGCACTGAGGAGGTACAAGAAAGCAGGAGCATTCAGACCACTGGTCAAGAGAAAGGTGTTGCTCGGGATGTCATCGTCACAAGGGTTAGTGATTGCAAAAGATTCCAAGTGAACTCTTTCACTTTTGTACTTTTATTAGTAGGCTTGAGACTGATGCTCATTTATGATTTGATAATAGGGATTTCCTACGGTGATTTAAAATTTGTTTTTCTGTATTATTTCCATTTTGAGTTATCTTGATTACTTAAGGGTATTTTGGTAAAGTTAGTGCTCGGCCGAATAAGGGTGTTACAGAGACGTTACTTCTTAGGGGTTTTTTTGTTTTTTGTTTTGATAGGAGTTTTCTAATTGATATTAACTTTAATTAGTAGGTATCAAATTTATATTATAGTTTGGTTTATTTTTTTCCTTCAAAATATGAGTAATAATATATAATATTATATCAAAATAGCTTGTCATATTTAGATCAAACATTTGATGAAAATTCACATACTCATATAACACCAATATTCAAATGTTCAATTTAGAATTTCAAATATTAAGTTCGCCGAAAAGAAAAACCGGAAGGCGGTATGTAACGGTATAACGGTTGAACTATGGTTAAACCACGGTTTTACCATAAAATACCTTAAAACTTACTTTCCCGGTACGATCTCCGGTACAGTTTCATGGACCATGGTATTTCGATAGGTTTGGATAATATAAAAAAAATCTGAAAAATATTTGAATAAAAAATAAACATTACCTTTTTAATTCTAATAAATTCATATTACTTGAAGGACACAAGGCAGGAGCAATTGGATGGGTGCACCACATCAGCAATCCAAGCTGGTATACCCGTCCCAGCCAAGTTTTTCTCCATCAACTCACCTAGAATTCCTCCACATCATATCCCACGTGCAATTAGGGTATTTTAGCTGTTTAGGAGTGCAATTGTTCTCCTTTGTGAGTGAAAATGATTTTTTTAGAGATAAAAATAATATGTTTACCCTTCTATCACGTGGAAACGAAGGAAATTTTTTAGATGAATGTCTTTATTGTGAATGACGTGTTTACCTGGATACATAAAATATCCATGGTAAAAATGATGTGTTTCGATGTCGGCTAAATACTGAGTCCATTAATAACATACTAATTTATTTAGATTGGGTTTGTAATTCATTTGGGTTTCTATTTTTTATTTTTATTTTATAAACATATGGGTTTCAATTTATAGTCATATGCAAATTATAGATTTGTACATAAATTTAACAGATCTTTAAATTTAGTATCTAAATAAAAAATTTCATATATTTCTTAAAATGTCGATGGAAAAATATATTTTAGTTCGTAAAAAAATTTTGTCTTTCATTTTGATACCTAAACTTTTAAAATTTTATAAATACGTCCAATTTTGTATGTGTAGTTGAAACAACCACAAGTAAACGGTATTTATACCCAACCCACACTCATTAAAAGTATAAAATCAATGACCATACCCTACCCAAACTCATCTACAGGACCCCAAACTCATATATACTCAATACAAGAAACTGCACTATCTCCAACAAATTCTATTGCGATGATAAGAAATTTGTCGCAAAAAGTGTACAATTTGCAACGAATTTCACTTTTTCGTCGCAGAATGTTTGAAGTCATTTTGCGACGGTTGTCTTTCGTCGCAGAATGTAAGGAGACTTGAGCCACAATTGTCTGTGTCACAGAGTTTATGGAGACTTTCTGCGTTGATGGTGTGTTCTTTTTCTGTGAACGAAAAAAACTCCAAAAAACGCCATCGTCGCTAAAGCTGCTCGTCTTTTGTGAGGAAAGCATACGTCGCAACATGTTCTTTTTTTGCGATGAAGCACACTTTATCGTCGCCAAATAATCATTCTACGACGACTTGTTCGTCGCCGAATCATTGACTTTCTACAACAAATTTGTCTTTTTCTGCAAGTGATTATGATATAATAACTATGAAGATGATTCATTTACATGATCAATGTAGGGAGGTAAATACCTCCTAATATAGCATCAAATATGAAATCCAAAGTAGCATCCAATATAAAATGCAATGAAAATCCGCTAATTTGTTTCATAATAGGTAACATCTTGATGTTTATATAAAACGCAAATTAAGAAAACACTTCCTAAATATATAGAAAGGGAAGAGAATCATATTGTGGCGGAGCCACATTGATGGCCTGGGAGGCTCTCACTTCTGAATTTTTGTCAATTTAAATTTTCTCAACATAGATTTTTAACCCTTCATTCAAATTTGTGGGTACACCATTGGAATCACATAAATGATGAATCTAGATTAGTTGATAGAAGAGCCAAACTAGCGTAGATAATAGCAAAAAGTGTGATATAACATGCCGGAAGTAAACAAATCGTAAAAGGAAACTCCTTATGGCTGCCGATCAAATCAACGAACCAAAAATTCCAAACGTGAAGCTATGATCAGTAATGGAAGACATAAACATTGTACTCCACGACAGCATCCCCGGTCCTCAGGTTGAACTTCCGGGTCCTGACGTCCTGGCCTGAGCATATCCCCTAGCAAACCTGAAAACTCCGCTCCCGCCGATGACCGGCATCTCCCTCACCGGCGACCACACCGCGTTCCTCCCCAGAATGCTCAACGTGCTCCTGTTGAACTTGCCGTCCACGAAAGCGAAGTTGAGAGCCATAAGCAGTCCAACTCGTAGAATTATTTAATAAAAGAATTATTTAAGTATCTAATAAAAGAATTATTTAAACCACCCCTATCCTTTTTTTATATGTTAAATATACAAGTATCTAATAAAAGAATTATTTAATAAAAAATAATTAAATCCGAATAATTCATTCATAAATAAAAAATAACTTATTATAGAATCATACTTTTCAGAAACAACTAGGAAGGAATTTCATATAGTGATAAAAACGCAAAAACATTCGTTGTCTACACTATTATATAAGTCTCTTTCAATGTATCTTACTAAATAAGTATTAGCAAACTGGTCGCCAAATCGACTTAGAAACTTGTTCTTAATATAACTCAAAGCTTAAAATTCTCTTTATACACTTGCAGTTGTAATTCGTTGATCAAAACTAGCCAATTGCCGTTGTCGCTAGACAATTTCAAGGCTGTTGGGGAAAACATCGGATAGGCATAAGGAGAAAAGAGACCCGATTAGGTCTTTATTGCAATTGGAATTTCGTTAATAATATAATAAATTAATTTTATTTCAATTTTGGACAAGTGAGTTGCCGCTTTGGAATGGGTTGTTGCTAATGGAAAAGTTGAGAAAGATGAAGGATCACAGTGGTTTAGGGACAAGATTTGATGACAGGAGTTCGGCTACTGTCTCTTTTTGCAGCTGTTTGCTCTTCTTTGTGTTCTTGCAATGAGGTTCTTTGTTTGCCTTTGGCTCTTTGGGTGCCTTTTGTTTTGTTGTTTGTGACCTCCTAATCTCCACTCTTTCTCTCGTTCTTTTCTTTTTTCTTTCTTTCTATTTGGCAGTTGTTGTAATTTTTGTTGATTTTGCCTTTAGCTGGAACACCTTTTTCGATTCTCTTAGTTTAATTTAATTATCATCATTATCAAAAATGAGTTGTGTTGTAGTAACAAAATACTCTAATACTACCTATACGTATTGTGTTCCATCACCAATATAAATATATATGTCATATTTTTTTCCATCAAAATTTACCCGTCCCGGGACAAGGCCCAAAAGGCCTGCCTCCGCCACTGCCCCTGGGCCCGGCCCACCAGCTTGGAAGTGGGCTCGGGCCCTGCCGTGAGTGGGTCGTCGATCATTGCCACCATGCCGAAGCCCGTAGACGAGAGATTGGTGGAGGGGGGCCGGACGATTTGCACCGCCGTTGGGTTGGGCCCGGCGACGATGTCGTGGAAGTAGAAGCGGAGGTGGCTGAGCTTTTCTTTCTTGAGGCGGAGCGTCGCCGGAGACAGGACCCGGGAGTAGCCATCACGGGATTTTGGTTTCTTGGCCGTGATGAGAGAGAAAGAGAGGGCGGAGGTTAGGATGAGGAGAGTTAGGAGGAAGGAAGAGATCTGGAGAGACTTGGCCATGGCTGTAAGGAAATGTCGCTTTGCAGAGTGCGCAATGAAATGGGGAAAGTGAAAGTGAAGAGATGGAAACTATGGGGGAGTGGCTATTTATTTGTATTTGTTTTAGAGCACTTCTATTATGTTATATAGTATTGGTGTTTTAATATACAATTCAAAATTGTACCATAACATTAGATGTATAAGTTTAAGTTGTACCATAAAGCAATTTGTATCATTATGTTATGGTACAACTTTACAACTTGAATTTGTATCATAACATAAAGGTACAAGTTCAAGTTGTACCATACAAGAATTTGTACAAAAAGTATAGGTACAATCTGAATAATTGTAAATGTACAAGTTCAAGTTGTATCACAATCTGAAGTTGTACCATAACGTAAATGTACAATTTTAAATTGTACCATAAAAGCAAAAACCTATAGCACCAATACTATATAGCATTGTAAAATTTCTTTTTGTTTTAATCACTTTTGAAATCAGGGGCGGACCCATGTCATGCCAAGTTATTCACTTGACAAACCTTAGCTCTAAATTTGGGGTTAAAAAGTAGTGTAAATATTTATAGTGGTGATGTTAGAATTGAAATCAATGTCATTTGACAACCCTCAAAATTTATAATTGAGTCTTTCTTTTTAACTACAAACTAATGTCTATTATTTTGAGAACGTGAATTAATTACAAATCTATTATTTTATTCAAATTCAATTCATTTTATTAAAAAAAAAATTATTCTGGAAAAACTCTCTTAACAACTCTATTTCATCTCAATTGTCACAAGATGAGATATCATATTTAAGCGAGTTATTAACTGTATTTATTGAAAAACATATGAGTAATCAATGTAGTTAAAATCACGGTTTAAAACTTAAAACCTTACGTTTTTACATTTTTAGGTCACTCTTTTCATTTACAAGTTTAGTCAAAATCTACGCTCTATGTCACCAAAATGCTTCTATGTTGAATCACAATTTTTTACTGCATTACGAATTATAACATAAACAATGAATATATTTTTGAAAAGTTTCAAAATATGAAAACACATATGATTCAATTTGTGATGAAAAAGATGACATGTGCATAATATAGATTAAATTTGTGTTATATTCTTGAACACCCTTAGAAGATTTTCTGGTTCCGTCACTTTTGGAATAATTACTGCAAGTTGGTGCGTCGGTCTCTCTGAGAACTGTGATGGGAAAGTGTACTCCAATAGTCCACACAATTAATGCACGGTGTATTTTTCAACTTAGGAAAAAAGATATTACTTAAAAGTCTTTTCATTTTCGAGTCTCCTAATCAAAATTTTCATTGTTGAAATCTATGCCTCATGCTAGGGTTGTCAGTTTTGTTAACCAAATCATTAAACATGAAAAAAATAAAAATCAATAAATGAAGGTAAATTTTCAAAAATTAAAATCAAAACCGTTAAGGATTTTGTTGATTATTGGTTGAGTGAAAGTTGATGAGTCGCTTAAACATTTTAGTTTGGTTTAGATAAACCAAAGATTAAAAATGAAACCCATAGTTTGGGAAGCCCGGAATTGGAGTTAGGAAAGACAACAAGAAGCATCAAGATAGGAAATAAGTGTACTACGCATAATTAAGTTAGTGACAACGTGTGTTGATGACGGATTTTAACTTATTTAGGGTGGTTTCAGTTTCTTATAGGTTAATCGGCTTTAACTGAAACTCAAAGTATAAAGATGCTAACCAGTTTTAAAATTTAAAATTAATTAATTAAAAGTGCAAGTTTAATGCACTGTTCATCACGAAAAAATCTCCCCGTGTCACTGTTCACTAAGGCCAGTATTCCCTGCAGCAGCACCCACCCAAACTTCCCAACCTCCTGAGAACGCCAAAATCCCCCTTTTTTATACTTCTTGCTGCATTTTTTATTACATCTATTATCATAAGCATCCAGTCCATGCCAGCAGAGGGTCAAAGTCCACTTTTTGAATCCTAATTATTAAGACACCACTTAAAATTTGTTAACTTTTATATAACAATTTAATAAGATGCAATACTTTTCATAATTTGTTTTTATTATTAAACCACACATTACTTCACATTTACGTAACACCATTCTATAATATTTTTTTGAATTAATATAAGTTTGAACGAAAATTCCTTTACTACTATTGATCATTACATCAATTTGCATTGCATAAAAGTTATGAAAGGTACCCTAATTCTACATGATAATTTAATCAAATGTAAGGTAAGTTAATTTACAAATGTGAAACTTTCTGAAACTTGATTTTATTATTAGAACACAAATTAAGTAACATCTGATACTTTTCATAATTTGTTTTTATTATTAAACCACACATTACTTCACATTTACGTAACACCATTCTATAATATTTTTTTGAATTAATATAAGTTTGAACGAAAATTCCTTTACTATTATTGATCATTACATCAATTTGCATAATTATCATATAGAATTAGTGTACCTTTCATAACTTTTATGCAATGCAAATTGATGTAATGATCAATAATAGTAAAGGAATTTTCGTTCAAACTTATATTAATTCAAAAAAATATTATAGAATGGTGTTACGTAAATGTGAAGTAATGTGTGGTTTAATAATAAAAACAAATTATGAAAAGTATCAGATGTTACTTAATGTGTGTTCTAATAATAAAATCAAGTTTCAGAAAGTTTTACATTTGTAAATTAACTTACCTTACATTTGATTAAATTATCATGTAGAATTAGTGTACCTTTCATAACTTTTATGCAATGCAAATTGATGTAATGATCAATAATAGTAAAGGAATTTTCGTTCAAACTTATATTAATTCAAAAAAATATTATAGAATGGTGTTACGTAAATGTGAAGTAATGTGTGGTTTAATAATAAAAACAAATTATGAAAAGTATCAGATGTTACTTAATGTGTGTTCTAATAATAAAATCAAGTTTCAGAAAGTTTCACATTTGTAAATTAACTTAACTTACATTTGATTTAATTATCATGTAGAATTAGTGTACCTTTCATAACTTTTATGCAATGCAAATTGATGTAATGATCAATAGTAGTAAAGGAATTTTCGTTCAAACTTATATTAATTCAAAAAAATATTATAGAATGGTGTTACGTAAATGTGAAGTAATGTGTGGTTTAATAATAAAAACAAATTATGAAAAGTATTGCATCTTATTAAATTGTTATATAAAAGTTAACAAATTTTAAGTGGTGTCTTAATAATTAGGATTCAAAAAGTGGACTTTGACCCTAAGCTGGCATGGACTGGATGCTTATGATAAATTGATAATAGATGTAATAAAAAAATGCAGCAAGAAGTATAAAAAAGGGGGATTTTGGCGTTCTCAGGAGGTTGGGAAGTTTGGGTGGGTGCTGCTGCACGGAATAATTGCCTTAGTGAACAGTGACACGGGGAGATTTTTTCGTGACAACTAACTGCTTGCACCACAAATATTCTGTTTGCCTTCATGGTAGTCTGCAGCATCATGCATCTTGGTTCTTGAAAAAACCTGCAGACTCCAACCATCTGGATATCAAAATTTCTTTTATTGTTATGAAAAGATATTAATAACCAATTTTGTGTTTTTAGGAACCAATTTTACTTGTAGTTTAACTTGGTGAAAAGAGACTTCTGTAGAAAGCAATGAACAGCAAATTGACGATCTTTATTGAATTGAAAGAAAGGTACATATAGAAGTTGATGCTAACCACAATCCCTAGTTGCTCTCAACGTTCACAATCCAAGAATCACGCTAACAACACTTAATCAACTAACTAATCAGCTAAGAACTCTCAACTGATCAAACCACTACTGACAGGACTAAAATGCAACTTAACTCAACCACAATGACTAATACTAAAATAAACCAAACGCTGTCGTACAACTTATTACTCAGAGACCTCGAGTTTGAACTTCTTCTTGGCGCGCTGATGCTAATCTGAATCCAGTTCGGATTAGGATTCCTTCTCTACACATCCTCCCCTGAACTGAAGTACCCAAGCACCAGCTTCATTTCACTGCTGCCCTCATTCATTCACAACTTCAGAGAGATCATAGATTCCCAGCTCCTGCCTCAATCTGCAGAATGATTCCAGAGACAAGGCCTTGGTCATAATGTCAGCAACTTGATCCTTTGTACCACACTGCTTCAGTTCCACCACTTCATCTCGAACCAATTCCCTTAGAAAGTGAAACCTCACATCGATATGCTTGCTTCTGCCATGGAGAACTGGATTTTTGGATAGCTTTATTGTCGAGCTGTTGTCACACAAGATGGCAGTGGCCTTACTTACACTTGATTCCCAACCAATCTCAGACAGAATCCTCCTTAGCCAGACTCCTTGAGCAGCACAGTAGGCTGCTGCAACAAACTCTGCTTCTGTAGTACTTAGAGTCACCACAGGCTGTTTTTTGGATGCCCAGGAAACAGCTCCTCCAGCTAGAAAGAAGACATACCCACTGGTACTCTTCCTGTCGTCTGAATCTCCAGCATAATCACTGTCTGTGTATCCCAACAGACAGTCTTCCTCATCCTGTCTTCTGTACCAGATTTCATGGCTCAGGGTTCCCTTCAAGTATCTGAGTACCCTCTTTGCAGCCAGCATATGCTGCTTAGTAGGTGCTTCCATGTACCTGCTCAACAAGCAAACAACAAACATGGTCTAGTTGCAGTGGGGTATAACAGGCTTCCAATGAGCTGCTTGTACTCACTTGCATCCACCAGGCCTCCATCTCCAGCTCTCGACAGTTTTGCTCCAGGAACAATAGGATTAAGCACAAAATTGCACTCGGCAAGATTGAATCTGGCTAGAACTTCTTTTGCATACTTCTGTTGACATATAAAAATGCCATCCTCCCTTTGAATCACTTCTACTCCCAGAAAGTACTTCATTCTACCCAGATCAGTCATCTCAAATTCAGCTTCCATGGTGTGTTTAAACTCAGTCACCATTTCAGCATCAGTACCTGTATACAACACATCATCAACATAGATGCTCACTAGCAGCACCCCCTGATCAGATTTCTCGATGAACAATGTGGCTTCATGTGGACATTTCTGGAAACCAGTTGCAAGGAAGTGAGCTTCTATTCTGCTGTACCAAGCCCTTGGAGCTTGCTTCAAACC